CGTTTAAGTTGGAATGGGGACTGGTAGTTGAATGTCTCCCACAACGATATGCTCAGGATTGGTGATTCCATTGAATTGTGCATAGCTCTGCACTCCAAAAATGGTATTTTCATCCAGGTAGGTCTGGACTGCAGTTTCAACCTCTTCTAGTTCTTATCAACACCCGAACCATGACAGTACAGCGTAACATTTAAACACATCAGGCACTGTTCCACATTGACACGAATTTCCTTGAGCCACAGGGAAGATGTGAAGGCCAGACATTATCCAATATCACATTCTATGGTGGCATTGTAGATGAAGCAAAGTTTTATTTGTCATAGCAATCGACCACATTACTTATACGTCGTTTGTAAGTAGGATTAACGTTGTGGCTGCACTGTCATGGTTCGAGTCTCGATGGGGCTGCTGAGGAGACCAGTTCAAACGAGGTCGAAGCAGCAGTCCACCCCATCCTTGAAGAGAGTCATTGTTGGAAACGTACAGTCTACTCATAGCTTAGTGAGAAAATTCAATTGCCAGTCCCCTTATCACCTTAAACGAAATAGAATGAATAAATCTCATATATTGTGTACAATGTCTTGGGTTGGCAGACATCCCTCCAGACAGAACAGAGCGCATTCATTAGCATGAGCAGAATTATGATATGCATGTATGATGGCTGCAGCCTAGGCGCGAATATTTGGGAAGATATTAGGCATGCATCGCCCAGACAACAAGTTTGGCCAATTATTCATCCATGCGCACAAACGTTTAGTCATGTCGGATTCCGTTTAGCCAGAGACAAACATTTGGCTGTTTTTCATACTCCCCGGACCTCAGTTTCTGCGATGCTTTTCCCTTCGAAATGTCCGAGTTGGCGACTTGTGGTATCCTGAAACCCATGTCATGTTAAAGTAGGCTGGGAGACAAAATTGCATTTCACATCATTAATGCTGGCTTAGCAGCGTTTTTGCAACTCGATAGGAGCGACAGATAAGCCTTGTTAAACGTACCCAGTTTTGTCTAGTCTGACAGAGTATTCACGAATGATTTCCAGCCTCGAACCGTTGACTTGGTACATTCTCAGACGGTTCGCCGGCCTCGCAGTCGGTCGGCATCGCCCGTGACGAGCGTCCTCCTTAACACAGAGCTACAAATGATCTTGTTGACGAAGCCGTCGAAACGTCTGGGAATGTACAAAGTGAACGGTCGGATGTTAGCAATTGTCGTGACTACTCGAGGGCAGAGGACTTAAAACTGGGTACCTTCTACAAGGTCTCGCCGTCGCTCCGACCGAATTGTGAAAACGAGGTTAAACCAAACAGACCTCGACTAAACAAAAGGCCACATTAGCTTGCTTTTCATATTCTTATCACAAGTTCAATCCACCACCAGATTGATGTCAATCTCGTAGTTGAAGGTGAAGTTCGATGCATCTCCTGAGATAACCTTATTGCAAAGACCTTCATTTCATGTGAAAGTACATAAAGAAGAGATTCGTAGGTCAGATTGACGTAGTCCACGGACTAAGTTTACGTCCATCATATGATGGACATCATTCATTCTTGTCAAAGTCTCACGTTAACAGCACCAGGTAAAGAAGACTATCCGACTCTATCATACCTCTTCCAAATACTCATAACTAAAAACGAAAATGAGTAGGCATACATAGAATTAGGATAATTTGGCTAATCATCCAGCACATACTCTGGAGGAGCGTCCAGATATCATAGAAGAAATAACGTTAAGTATGGCCGTCATCGTTATAGTTCTTAACTTATTCATGAGTATCAACTATGTTACCTTTGATGGCGAGTTTTATAAACAGACACACGGAATTGACCAACAACTGTATGGCCAAACCATTCTATATCTGTCTATGACTATTAATTTTCTTGTGTTTAACTGAGTCTATATAAGAGGTGTGACAGAGCTTGTTAGTCTTCTTGAACTGGTGCTGTTGACGTGAGACTTTGACAAGAATGAGTTCCAGCTCTGATGATGTCCGATTTTCACCCGAAACGAGATAGGATGTCTGAAAGTCGTATAAAAGCTGCAGTAGAACGGGATTAAGCTTTTGCCTTCTGATGAGATCAGCCTACGAATCTCTTCTTCATGCACTTTCGTACGAAATGAAAGTCTCCCCAACAATCGCGTAGTTATTTGACGATTCCATTCAATTTCACAT